CTCTACCAAGGGTGACAAACTGAGACTCTGTCTCAAAAAAAAAAAAAAGACCCCTATGAGTATTCTATATTTCTTCAAGTATCCTGGCAAAAGAATCAAATCATATCCAAGGGAGAAAGGCTGAACTCAGAACTTTTCAACTACAACATTCAAGGACTAGGACCCAATGGAGCAAGAAGTTGAAGGCTGCAAAAGAATTGGTGTTTGTGGTTGGGTGAAAAAATGGTCCTCCAAAATATACCCACATCCTCACCCCTGAACCCATGTTACCTTATTCAGAAAAAGGATCTTTGCTGAGGTGATTAAAGATCTTGAGATGAGATTATCTTGGACTACCTACCCAGGTAAACCATAAATGCAATCACAAGTACCTTATGAGAGAAGCAGAGGGGGATAATGCAGACAGAAAAGAGAAGCCACTTTTGAGCAATGCATCCACAAACTAAGGAATGCCTGAAGCTACCAGAGCTGGAAGACACAATGAATGGATTCTCCCTTACAGCCACTAGAGGAAGTCCTGCCAACACTTTGATTTCAGCCTAGTGACAGTGAGTTCAAAATTCTGCCCTCCAGAACTATGAAAGAATAAAGTTCTGTTATTTTAAGTTACTATGTTTGTGGTAATTTTTACAGCAGCAATAGAAAACTAATACAATAATCTAAGAATATCATACTTTGGCCACGCCTGTGACTCAGTTGGTAAGGCGCCGGCCCCATATACTGAAGGTGGCAGGTTTGAACCCGGCCTCAGCTAAACTGCAACAAAAAAATAACCAGGCATTGTGGCAGGCGCCTGTAGTCCCAGCTACTCGGGAGGCTGAGGCAAAAGAATCGCCTAAGACCAGGAGTTCAAAGTTGCTATGAGTTGTATGATGCCACCGCACTCTACCAAGGGCCATAAAGTGAGACTATGTCTCTACAAAAAAACATCTATGTATATACATAGATATATAGATCTATATGTATATCATACCTAATCGAGTTACTGTTTAGTCACAAGCATATGCTAATCGAAGTCATGGCATAAATTAGACTACGGTTACAACATAAAGTGTGCTACTCAGGTCATTGCACTGGGTAATAGCACATTGGTTTCACCAGGACTTCATGAGAAATGTAAAGAATGCCTCCCAGGATTGGCCAACTGTTTACCCACTGATGCCTGTTTCTGGTCACTGAAGCTACCCCTAGACCAAGATCGTACTGGTATATAGGCTGAGTGGGTTTCTGTGATGTCAGAGAAGGCCTGGGTAGAAAGTGCAGAGACACACAGCAGGTACCTGAGATGCAGCTCTGTAAGTCTGCTGTAGGTAAAGATAGGCCGCTGAGGGAATCAGTCAAGACACCAACTCTTACACCCCTCAGATCTATTCAGGCAACACATGTAGTCTACTCTGTCAAGATTCTTCAAGGTGAAGACTGGTTATGACTTCTACAAAAGCCTCAACATGGGCGGCACCCGGCACTTTTGGCTCAAAGGAGTAGGACACCAGCCCCATATACTGGAAGTGGCAGGTTCAAACCCACCCCAGACTAAAACTGCAAAAAAAAAAGCCTCAACACAAGATTAGTAGAACAAAGATGGTTCTGACTGCCGCACTTGTCCCACAGTTGCAATGGGTATTCACTATTGTCCCTCCTCCACAGCCTCACCCTCAGCCAGGATTCCAGCGGGCCTACTGGTATGCCAGCCCTTCATCCCTGGGGGCTCAGAGCCCTTAGCTGTCTCACCCTTAGCAGGCTGTGGCTGCTGAAAATGCCTTTTTGCTGTTATTACTTGGCATGGAAACACCCAGACCAATCCAGGTGAATCCTCTAAGTGATCCTCTAAGACCAACTCCTGTTTGCCCCATTGGCCAGCAGCAACCCTACTTTCTTATGATAATCAGGCTCAATTTTCCCTTCCTTTTTTGCCTATTACTGGTCTAGCAGTATGAGCTCAGAGTGACTTGGTGGTGTTTGTAGATTCAGGTTCAGTGGAAGTGTCCTTCCCTGCACCAGTGAAAGTCCCCTCATGGAAGTGTTCTCCACCTGGGACCAGGCTCTAATTCAGCAGATTCTAAGGTTGTGGAAACAGAATGTACAAATTCTACATGTGAGTCACTGGGAATGATGTGTGAGAAGTGGCTAATCTCAACCCTTGAGTTCCTAGGGGCACAACACCATACACTGGGTTTTGATTCAGTGTACATATCCCAACTACTCAGGATACTGTCCTAGAGTGAGGGTCTTAGCTAAGCCTTTAAGACAGCGAGTCTCAACCTGTGGGTCACAACCCCCTTGTAACAATGAAAATATATCGCAGCATTAGGAAGGTTGAGAACCACTGCTTTAATAGGTCATTCCATCTTTCTGTTTGAAGGGCTGTTTGTGGATAATGCAAGATACTAGAAAAGCAGTAGGTCCCATGGCAATCCACACACTGCCATATCTCCTTTACAGTGAACTGACTCGATTTTATACATGACCCCATGTTGGTAAACTGAGATTCTTTTTTTTTTTCTCAGCAGTGCCCTACTTGGGCATCTGAAGACCATTGTGAACATGGACATCACCTGCGTAAATTGAGATTCTTGAAGCTCCTGGATCATAACACTAGCCTGAGACACTATGGATAAAGAGGGAAAACTCATACCTAGAGCAGGTGTCAATTCTAGTGAGGATGAATCGATGCCCTCTCCTGGGTAGAAATGATCAGCTATAATCAAGTTGCCACTAAGTGACTAGTCTGTGTCCTTTTTGGATGGTACCATAGCAGGGGCTCAGCTGCTAAGAAGTCAGACAGCAGCAGTAACAACTAGATAGGCCTACATAAGAGAGGACCTGTACTGGTGGACATAACCTGCACTCTGGCTACCATGTTTCCTCCATTCATGGGCCCACTGTACAAGTTCAGGGGCAGCCAAGGACAAATCTGGCTGCAAATATCCTGTCCAGCTACCTTGTTATTCAGTGACTCCTCTGCATTCAGTATTAACAAAAGGCACACACACACAAATTTTGTAACCACTCCCATAGATCCATCTTCTTCCCCAGATGTCCTTGCCTCTAATCATCCCCCTTTGCTCTTTACAGGTCCCTGACAACCAGCAGGACATCTATCACATCCTAGAAGTATATATGCATTTCTCCCTTAGGCCACTGCTTCATCCCCTCTGTCCATACAAAGTGAATGTCCAAATGTGTTGCTTGAAGCTCTGCCTTATGGAGAAGGTCCCCCTCATTGCTGTCCATTACAGCCACCCTGAGTGGGACTATAGCACAGCAGTAGATCATTTTCAGCACATATCAACATATCTGACCCATCTGTGGACCAGACCTGCATTTTTTTTTCCTGTCTTCTAAGAGATTGCAGTACAAAAAGGTAGAAGTTGGCCACAGCCAACTCATCCTGTAAATGACTGTGGCCCTCTAGATAAGCTTGGGTCCATCTTGGAGGATACCTTTTTCATAGCACAATGACTTGCTACTGAGACTCTTGTCTGATTGACTTGGTAGTTGCGATAATAGCTAGCTCAGAACAGACAGATTCTGTCACATAAACACTATTGCCCCATAATCACATGCTCAGTCTTCTTGGGTCTGATGCCCAACAATGTTTTCACTTGGTGAGTTCTCTGCTGCAGAAGGGATGGTCATCTTGCCCCAGCTGCAACTTTCCTGTTGGGGTTTGCCAGAGGTGCCACACAGGGTCCTTATGTACCAGAAATAAACCCACTTCTAACCCACTGGTTCTGCTAAGTGGCAGGATAGGCTGTCCTCCACTCCAGATCTTCAGCAGAGCCCTTTTTCCTCTGGTCCCCACTCAAAACTGGCAGTTCTCTAAGTTACTCAATAAATGGGTCAGAACAGTATTCTCAAATGTAGTACATACTGATTCCAAAACCCAGAAGTCCATCAGGAACTATGCCTCCTTCTTTGTGTTAGGGATGCAGGATCCAATAGTGGTCCTCACTTTAGAGATGATGCTCTGGCTCGCCCTAGACTAGTCCATCCCTAAAAACTTCACAGATACAGCAGGCTCCAGAACTTCTGAGGGTTTATCTCTCATTCTTGCCATGCATTGTCTTACCAATGGGTGCCCCATAAACTTCTTGGTCCTCTTTTTGATGATCTTGGGCTTCACAAGCAGTTTGAGGGTGGCCATGATGCTGAATAGGAGATGGTGCCACCTCAGGCCAGAACACTGGTCATTTCTTTCTTCACCATGTCCAATCAGCATGTCATCAAAGTTACGTGGAATATCCAGATGATAGGATCTCTAAGGCTAAGGACTATACCGTGACAGAGAACAGGAGCATTAAAATAGCAAGAAGACAATGTATATGCCTGTCCTTCTCATATAAATGTGAACTTCTTTTGATCTTCTTTACTGTTGGGAATTTAAAAAAATGTTCATGGGTGGTGCCTGTGCCTCAGTGGGTAGGGCGCTGGCCCCATATACCGAGGGTGGTGGGTTCAGGCTCAGCCCGGGCCAAACTGCAACAAAAAAATAGCCGGGCGTTGTGGTGGGCGCCTATGGTCCCAGCTACTTGGGAGGCTGAGGTAAGAGGATCGCCTGAGCCCAGGAGTTGGAGGTTGCTGTGACGCCATGGCACTCTACCAAGGGTGATAAAGTGAGACCCTGTCTCTAAAAAAAAAAAAAAGTTCACAATATTAATAACTGCCTTTTTTTTTAGACAGGGTCTCACTATGTTGCCCTTGGTAGAGTGTCGTGGCATCACAGCTCATAGCAACCTCAAACTCTTGGGCTTAAGTGATTCTCTTGCCTCAGCCTCCCAAGTAGTGGGACTACAGGCACCTGCCACAATGCCCTGCTTTTTTTTTTTTTTAATTGCACTTGTCCTTGCTGTTAGCTGGCCTGAGCCGGGTTCGAACCCGGCAGCCTGGGTGTATGTGGCCAGCACCCTACCCACTGAGCTACAGATGCCACCCAATAACTGCCTTTCTTTTTTAAATCATCTTCAATATATTTTTTAAATATTTTTTGCCTCATTTACCAGATAAATCATCTAAATAAATAGATGCTATACATCTCTTACCAATGTCAGTACAAAAATAAAACTGCGCTCTACGCCCGCTCTGCCTCTCCCGGCACACTTGCTCAGAAAAGGCTTGTGCTTGGGATCAGCCTGCCCCACCCCTCCCAGATACATTCATTTAGTCTGAACAAAGTCGAAGCTCATCTGTGCAAAGGAAGCGCTCTCGTGCTGAGACCCAAAGCCACTGGCGGGGCACTTAAAAGGCGAAAAGCTCACCCACCTCTAAGAAGCCTAGCACCTTCCCCGGAGCAAAAAGAGGAGGGAATTGGCACTGGGGACTATCCCCCTAAGAGCAGTGATGATCCTGGAAACCTCCTGGGCTTGGCCACATAGTACAAGTGGCCATGCGGAGATTGTAGGAACATTTTCCCCATCCCACCCCACCACAAAAGAAAAAGTACCTACCAGTCTCTACATTCACAACAGGGAGAGGGCTGGGGGGATAAAGGCAGGTGGTCAAACACTTTCTGCGCCCTCCCCCCACCCCTAGGAGTACTGGCCTTCTGAGGAGGGTGTGGGGGTGGGAGGTCACTATCTACTTTGCCCCTCCTGGGACATTCCAGGCTGGGAGAAGGCCTGTGTAGTCATACCCATAGATGACCTCACAGAAGTCA